GGAAAGTGGAACTTAATGTCACATGTATGAGGGTTTGCAGATATCACAGCTAACACAGAGACTGGAGTGGAAGGTTTGAGAATTACGTAGTTGGTTGAATTGGTGAATTAAATGTAAATTATTTCACCTTTCGTTTGAGAGTTAACTCCTAATAATTGAACCAGGGACAGAGGACCAAACTCAGTAGTAAAATGCTGCATGTAAGTGTGTCACCCACAATAAGCAAACATGATTTGACAAGCAGCTCATTGACACCAAAGGAGAAGAGATTACAGAAGGTTTCTGGGAAGCAAAACATGATAAATGTCCTCTAACCACTTACTCATCCATCATTTGCAAAACTTGGTTTTCTAGTTGAGTGTTCGAATTTTATTTTAGGTGAATATTTTTTTCAAAAGCTTTTAAAAGAATTTAGTTGCAAACTCAGTAAATCCCCCCTGCCCCCCTCCGCCTCCCCCCCCCCGCCCCCCCCAATTAGTAGTGCTGATAATGCGATCCCAAAATTCTGTTCAGGGCAGTTTGCAGGACCTTGACCTACAAAGCCGGAGGGGACGTATCCTCACCTGTAGGCTTTCAAGCTTTAAAACCTTGAATGCTTCTAAGTTTACATATGCAAATATACATTCCTCGATGTCACCCAATTCATATAAGTCCAATATCATTATAATACGTTACTTGGTTCCAAAATTATATTTCTAAGTAAAGTCTCCTTTGAACCTGAATTAGGTTGTACTTTTTAAAAGCACCCATGAACATATGATGGGCTGGAAAGGTTCGGAGTGCAAAGGGTTAACATACTTTTTGCAGTTCTATATGAAATAGCTTGAAACTTGGAACCAATCTGGACAATAAGTATAAATCCTGCATGAGTTTGATGTGTGGGCAAGAGGAATGTGTGGGTTACAAGGATGTCAAAATGGGTGTGTAACCTAGAGCATTTGGTGACCATTTGGAGGACTAGGTTTTTGATTGTCTAATCCAGCTGTTCTCAACCTGTGGGTCGCGACCCCTTTGGCAGTCATACGACCCTTTCACAGGGGTCGTCTAAGACCATCCTACATATCAGATATTTACATTATGATTCATAACAGTAGCAACATTACAGTTTTGAAGTAGCAACGAAAATAATGTTATGGTTGGGTCACAACATGAGGAACTGTATTTAAAGGGCCAGAAGGTTGAGAACCACTGGTCTAATTCGTGTTGTGAAGATAGTTTCTATGACCATAGGAAATTGGTGGGGATATAAAAGTACTGATACTTGAACTTGGCACCGGAGAAAGACATTAGAATTATTTACTTTGAAATTCTGACACCCTTTCTCACCTCTTTCCACTCCAGCTCCCTAAGCCCAAAATATAATGGCACTAAAAGAAGTTCCTTAGCCAAAAATGTAAGATTGATGTCTACAGACTCAATTACATAAGCCTTATTCTTTTTAGTACATAGGCTTTTATTATCTAGATATAAAATAGGGAATAACATTCTCAAAATGGTTTATGTGATCATGAGAAAGTGAACTAACTATATCACTAAAAACAAACTCCCAAGAGTGAAATAGGGGCTGTTTATTGTGTTCAACATGTTATATATATATTTACTAGAGACCCGATGCATGAAATTCGTGCAAGGGGCTTGGCCCTTGCAGCCCTGCTGCCTTGAGGCCCCTCCCACTGGTCAGAAGGTCATTCTGCCACCAGGTCTAATTAGCATATTAGCTCTTTATTTTATAGGATTGGCCACAAGATGGTGCTCTAATCCCACGTCACAGTTAAGTAGTATGCAAAGTGCCATTATGTGAGACACTGCCTTTTATACAGGAGACTACTAGTATGTATGTATGTATGTATAGGGTATATGATTACAGTGGCACATGACTTTTCTAGGCCCCTTACAGCTCTAATGAATATGTGTGCAGAAGCTAACTTCCCTCTTCCCTCTGGATGTAAAGTTGAGAATTTTATGTAAGATCCATTCATGCCAAGGTCTGGATGTTTTACCTCTTATATTTACTGGAAAGAAGGAAAATGGCAGAGCTTCCATAGATAAAACTTTTTAAAGACTTTTTTTCCCCATTTCTTGCTATATTTTTTCTACTTTTATTTTATGATGGAAGAAAATGCACTGGCTGCAGTGTCCATCTTGACAGTTTGTAAAATCAGATGTGGGCATCCCTCTTATCAGGGGTCCAGCTCACAACTTCCCCAGCTGAGGGGTGCCCAGCTGGCAGCATGCTGCAGCCCATTCTGTTCTCCCTTCAGCTGTCTCCAGACCTGTTTGTAAAGCCCCCTACCATTGTCCCCTACCTACAACTGCAGCTCCCAACTGCAGCTCCCAACTTTGGCAATCAGAGCACTTGAAAGCCCTGGCTCTCTAAAGAATACCAGGTGATTGCTAAATTGAATCCCATCTTGCAAACTACGAACTTTTCCAGGAGAAAATTCATGCAATCAAAAATTATAATCACAAGCACATATGCTTCTGAAAAAAAGCAAGCCGTTTGGTGTCAGAACTGTTTGTGCTTTCACTAACACTCGCTTGCTCTCGTTCATGTACCTGACTGCCTGTCAGTGCTCACTAGCAGCAGAAGACTGAAGTTTTCAGAAAAATCTGAGAGAAAAATCAATTAAGAAAATTAAAAACATTATTTCCCCTTCGGTTGAGGAAGAGCTCCATTATATGATTATTCACATCTGTTGTACATTAACATGGCAAAGAACTGATGACTTTGACCTAATGAATTTTGCGGAAGAGATGAGTAATGAGGTCTCTGACAGAGAAGGCTATTTCCAGTCAGAGGAGAAGGGGTTTGCTTGACTTTCTGACGACACTTCCTCCACGTTAAGTTATAGCGTTGTCATCTCCACAGTCAGAAAACAGTACGGGCCAGGGGACACCATCAATACAATTTAGTTAATAAGACCAATACAGTCAAGGATAGGGGACCATCCTTAGAGTCCCATGACAATGATGTTTGTAGGGGTCCCGACAACCTGCCAGTAGGACTCACTTCTTAGTCCTGGGATTGTTTTCCTGTCTAGCAAAGAAAAGCACAAGCGATATCACCCTTCTCTTTGCCTTTGGTAGCTGGGATTATAAACCTCAGATGGAGGAGGTATACTAAGAAATTTAAAAATTCACTTTTATTTTTCTATTTAATACTCAATTTAATCTGCAAACACTAACAATGTACCTGGTAACAATGTACCATGACCTCCTGGTTCATGGGTTGACACCACTGGGCCACACCAGCTGGACCAGATACGCAATTTTAATGTGCCCAGTAAAATGTGACTGATTTATATTAGTGGGGAGCTGCCCACCTGTGTCACATAACAGGGCTACTCTATTGGGCAGTAATAAAAAGGTGAACTCTTCTGGTCTTTGCTGGAATGAGCAGTGCTGGAGTCAAGAGCCCAGGGAGCTAGTCTTGGCCCTGCAAGTGTTTTTTTGTCTTTTCTCTTGGACTAATGCCCATTGGGTCTTACTTTCTATCATGTAAACACACTGAAACAGTCAGATACCTCGATGTGCTAAGATTCTCTCTCTCCTCTAAAATTAAACTATGTAGAGAAATATTTATCTCTGTACCCGCTGGTACTTGGTACCCCAAAGGTAGTTGAATGAATGAGTGAATGGAGTGCACAATTCTTGAATTACTGATTATCCTATTCTTATTTTAAACTATTTAAAGTAATATAACTGAATGGGATCAGAGAACTGGAAAACCAGTAAAACTAACTCTAAAAGGCATTAATAACTAACTGTACCAGCATGTTTCCTAGAGTACAAGTGTTCTGAGATAACCCTTCAAAATAATTTTTTGGGGCCCAGCCGGTGTGGCTCAGTGCTTGACATTGACGACCCATGAACCAGGAGGTCATGGTCAGGGCAGTGCCTGGGTTTTGGGCTCAATCCCCAGTAGGGGGCGTGCAGGAGGCAGCCGATCAATGATTCTCATCATGGATGTTTCTATCCCTCTCTCTGAAATCAATAAAAACATATTTAAAAAATAATTTGTTGGCATCTAATTTTAACTAAGGAAAACAATCCCCTCTCTCTCCCTTCTGTCAAGGTTAACCAAATACCCAAACTTAGGCAAAGCTCAGCCCACTTGACAAATAAGAATTATAAATGGCAAATGGTGGATTGTTGAATGTGACGTTTTAATATATACAGAGTATAGTTCATGGGTTAGAAAAAGGTTTTTAAGTTTTGATTAAAAAATATTTGAAACCATTCTGATTTAGATAAGACCACCCAAATCTTAGAGAAATTAATGGGAAGAAAAAAAACAAACAACCCGGCAACTAAAAAATGGTAACATTAGAATTGTGACTAGTTCTCCAAAAAACCAAAACAAAAATCTTTTCATTTCACAAAATAAGTGCTCCAGCCTGTCACCCAAAACGACACATTGACACATCCACCGTTCTCTCCGATTTCCAAATTATGTGAGTCCCCAGCGGCTTCTTTCTGCGCTGGCTACCAAATCCCCACGTTAGCTGGTAATACTTGGCCCTCACTTGAGTGAACAGGCAGCTGAGATGAGAGGTGGGTTTAACGAGATAGTTCTTCCTCTGAAGGGATCTACAGATGGAAGGGGTGAAGCAGGGAATAGTGTCTGATAGCCACGTTTAGAGGAGAAAGCCAGGGGCTTTGGGTTTTCTGCAGTTTACCAAAGTGCAAAGGTTTATTAGAAGAGGTTGAAGTCTTTTCAAAAGGCTCTGTTTCTTAAAAAATATATTTTTTCACTGATTTCAGAGAGTAAGGGAGAGGGAGAGAGAAACATCAATGATGAGAGAGAACCATTGATTGGCTGCCTCCTGCATACCCTACACTGGGGATCAAGCCCGCAACCTGGGCATGTGCCCTGACTAGGAATTGAACCGTGACCTCCTCGTTCGTAGGTTGATGCTCAACCACTGAGGCACGCCACTCAGGCAAGTCTCTGTTTCTTGTGTTGTACTTTAAGATAGTAGACAAATAACTTTCTTTCCTTTTTTTTTTTTTTTACTACTTATAACACTTTATTTTTACTTTGTACAAAATACAAAAATGCAAATCCAAAGAGTACAGAAGACCAGTAGCGACAGGCACACTGCACAACAGCAAACCTTGTCTAGCAAGACATTAGTTTTTAAAACTTTATTTTAGTGAATACGTGCATTATATAAAACAACAGCAACAACAACATCAAAAACACAAAGAAGCTAGAGATTTCGCTATTTCTACCCCCCAAATAATGCTTACTATCAAGACTTTGGATGAGACCAAAAAAAATTAAAAGGCCAATAATATTTTTTTTTCATAAAAATGTAAAAGCTACGATAAAATGTCTTTTCCCCCCATCACACTGATTCAATGTCTTCTGCAAAGCCATACATTAAACAAAACAAAACAAAAATCCTGAACTGGACAGTAAATACTCAAGAGGGTTGTTACCTAGGTAACCACTCAGTAGTTTAAAGACTCTTTTAAACATTTGGAAGCCCTCTAGTCATTGCTCAGTACAGTGTTCCAGCCATCCTGCCCTTTTCCCGCCTGTAACACATCTTGGAATAGAAATGCTTACATCATTGAGTCTCTGTTCCTAAGAACTAGTTTTGAAAAAGAAAGGAATGTAAAAAAATATTTAACAGAACTATGAGAGATGTAGGCAAGGAGTCTTCTCTTCATAGCAAAGTTGGGTTTGCTTTGCATGGCTTCTTCTGTAGGACCTTTCAGGGTTTGTTGATCTGCCCCATGAATAAGAAGGCACCTACAGAATTGAAAGAAAACAATGCATGACTATAAAAAAGTTAGAAAAAATTAGATGGAAGACACATTTATGGGAAGGTCCCTGGGGTACGTTTAAAGTTAACTGCTCTCAACAGAACTTTCTGCAATAATGGAAATGGTTTATACCTTCATGGTCCAGGATGGCAGCCATGAGTCACATGTGGCTACTGAGCTCTTGAAATATATTTACATTTCATGTAAATGAGTTAAAAGTTGAAGTGAAATAGCCACATGTGGCTAGAGATTACGGCACACGCTAATTATGACATTGAACTTGCAATGAGACAAGAGGATAAGGAACTAGCTTCTATTATTGATTTAAAAAGGGTAAGAGTTAAAATGTCTTAGTTTCTACTCTGTACCAACATGAACCCAACCTTTCCACAAAGACAATATTATTTATTCTTCAGAGTTGTACTAAGGGGTAGGAACTACTGTTACCCTTAAAGATGGAGCTAAAGTTTGAACCAATGACTCAAAGAGCCAAGATCCACTGAATTAACAAATCTGAACCGTGGAGTGGGCTTACAGAGGTTGATGGCATGTAACTTCTTATAAAATTTCACTGCATTTATTTAAAAGAAAATCAATAGATGTTAAAAATGGCTCAAAGGGTGGCAGAGCTCTCTACATGTTAAAACCAAGATAAAACAAACAACACAAACATACAATCTTGTCCTTGTTTCAAAGATTCCATCACACTTTATAAACAGTCTGATTTCCCTCTCTCTCCAATGTGTGTAGTTATATTATTTGAAGTGCTTGCGATTGTTGCCACATGGGAAATAGACTAAAAGCAGCACCATTGGATGTAACTACAAATCCACCTTTCTGAATTCTAACTTGTAACCAATGGAAGAGGAGAATCACTTACCTGTAGGATTATGTCGGATGAAAAATAGAAAAGGTCTGTCCACTATAAACCAGGGAGGAGATGACCTTGCAATTAGAATCGCAGCTGTGGGAAGAAAAGGAAACATGTTGTGCACCCAGCGTGTGGCCAGAAAGGCAGCTGGCCCCATGGAGCCTTGATGCTGGTGTTTGGGGACACACTTAATTCCTGTTCCATGGGCTGGACGTATCATGAAAGGCCCAATGGTCCCCATGTACTGAACAGCCACCATGGACCAGGCCCTTTGCCTTTACCATCTTATTTAGTCTACACAAGTACCACCTTTAATAAAAGCACTTACTCCTTGTAGGGTTTCTATGAGGGTTAAGTGACATAAACATGTTATAGGTCTTAGCACAATGTTTGTTCACCATCATTAGTGGCTGTTTTCTATTTATTTCATCTGCCTTTCTGATGAAGGCAGCTGGTCCTTTCAGCCTATTTGAATCCCTTCTGCATATCAAAGCCCAGCTTCATGCTCAACCTCTGAGACTGTGCCTCTTCCTCTGGCACGATCTAGGTTTTCCTCCCATTGGCAACATAGACCACTCGTTGGGACCTAATGTGTTGTCCATCTCATCTTGGTGTAGACACTGGACTTAGAAAGCAAACTTCTTTAGTTCATGGTCTTAGACGTGCTTACTCTGCCATGCTTACCAACAGTGGCTTCAATTTAATAAGCCTGAGGTAGTGCCAGGTGTAACTGCCCCATGCTTGCTGCATTGACCCAGTCCTCTTGTTCAAGCCCCAGAAAGCATTCATGACTTGGGCTTGATATGACAAAGAAAACATCTGCAGCTATGTTGGGATACAGCATTCAACCCAGGGTTATTAAAAACAACTCAATAGCAAGTGTTATGGACTAAATCAAATACCCTCAAAACATATATGCTGAAGCCTTAATCTCCATCGTGACTGTATTTGGACATAGGGCCTTTAAGGAGGTGTTTACTTAAAGGAGGGCATGAAGGTAGAGCCCTAATCCAATAAAACTGGGTCCTTATGAGAAGAGAGGGAAACACCAGGGATGGACACCCACAGAGAAAAGGCCTATGAGGACACAGTGAGAAGGCGGACATCCACAAGCCAAGGAGAGAGGACTGAAGAGAAACCAGCCCTGGCAACACCTAGATCTTGGACTTCAGCCTCCAGAAGTGTGAGAAATGAATTTCTGTTGGACTTGTTATGGCAGCTCGAGCAAACTAATACAGCAGGGTTGGGCTTCGTGAGGATTTGACCTGGGCAGTTACACAGGGTCCTACACTCACAAGGTCCCCGCATGTGACCTGCTGCTGCTATCTCAAATTCTCAATCAGTTTTGAACGAGGGGCTCCATATTTTCATTTTGCAAAGAACCCTGCAAATTATGTAGCCAGTCCTGATAGTTCTGCTGTTGGCAAAACGGGTCAATAACTTGGGCAAAACTTAGATGTCACTTATAATCACCCAGAAAAGACAGGAGGCATTTACAAAATTCCAACCCCTCTTATTCTAGGTCTTTGTTTCAAATGCTATTTTAAAGGAATACACATTAAATGTTTATTTTAGAAAGGCAATAACGTGTCTACTGTGGGTATAAATGGTACTTTTAATGACCAGAAATACTTGACCCAGTTACAAGTGTAGCTGAGATATGATTCACTTTATGAGCTCACAGGGCTTGGTCATATCTATTCAAGCAATCTCATGTGGATAATCAAGGGGTAAAAAGAAAACAACCGAAGATTGTTCCATTTCCTCCTTCATTATATGAGCCGTCAAGGAGAAAGCAGAGGTGGATGTTCAAATGACCAAGAAAGGCTGCACCGCCATCCTGCTCCAATCAGCAGCTGCGTGCTAATTCTTCACTTTGTCCTGGGTAAACCCGACTGACTCGTTTCCTGTGAGTTAAGTGCTATTATGCTATGTTTCTATCTGAAGATTGGTCTTCTCTGCCCACAGAAGCCAGAATACGCTCTGTCCAGCTAAGAGCAGGTTTGGGCACACTGCTGTGCTCAGGCCGTGTGGGGACAGCTCCTGCCTTCATCAAGTTTTGTAGAAACAGCCGGGCCCTTTGGCTTGCATCATCTCTGCTGCTGTCGCTTCAATGGCAGAGTAGCTGCTTTGGAGCCGGTAGGGCCCACAAAGCAGAAAATACATAGTTTACAGAAAAAGTTTGTCGACTCTCGTCCCGGAGGAATTTTCTCACTGAAGTGCTTCCCTTAATGATACAGACTCAGAGGCCCATGGGCACAGGTCTTCAATCTGTCTCATTTCCCACCATGTCCGGACAGTCACCCCACAGCACCTGACTGGAAGTCCACGAGTGAGCTGAGGACTCATGTCACCCCTCACCCCCCGCACCAGGACCAGCCCCGCCAGGACCCCGGCTTACTGGTGACTGCTGAAGCTTTGGTTCCGTCTTCACTGACTTCAATTTTTGCTTTTTGCAAGATGTGAGAAATATGAAGGTTTTCTGACCCTGTTTCCAGAAAATAAGACAAAAAACAACAGCGTTTGTTTGCTATGCAGACCATCTGTGTAGCTGGAAAAGGAACCTCAGCCATGGCCAATTCCAGTTCTTAAACGGTGTCAGTGGAGAAGCGACTTCTCACAGTCCCGGTGACTGAAGGCTGTAGGTGGCCTGCCACCTGCCCTGTCTGCTCAAAGAACTGGGATATCACTCAAGAGGAGGGAGTCCCAGACCCCAAATATGTTAGTGCTGCTAGCCAATCAACTCCAATCACTGAGAATTTCATAAACAATAAAAAGAGCGAAGCTGTAAAAAGGAAGCCCAGTTACCCAGAAGCAGCAAGCCAACATTATTTTTCCCTTACAAATGTCAGATCCAGGAGGGATTTCAGATGGCACTGACAGATGGGGAAACCAAGGCCCAGAGTGTTAAAAAAAAAAAGTCTTTAAGTCACATGCAAGTTAGTGGCAGAGTAGGTGCTGGCTTTTCACAAGAAAAGCCACTCATCTCGTGGGTGTATTAGTAAGAGAAGAGGGTCAAGCAGGAGACCAGTCAGACTGTTGTGAGGGCGACTCAGAAATGCAGTTTTGTCCCTGGAAACTTTCAGTGAATTCACTTTCCTTCTCAGCAAATCCTTACCATTCCAGCAACCCCCACTGGGGGCAGCCTTCAGGGGCAACACAAACAAAGGTTAATGGTAGCCTTGACTGGACATGGGTCAGGATGCAAAGGGAACTAGCGCTTCTTGCGTCATCTGGTTTTATTTCATTTTAAATTTATCGGGGTGACATTAGTTAATAAAATTACATATTGTATTTCAGGTGTACGATTCTATAATCCACCAGCTGTACATTGTACTGTGTGCTCACCACCCCATCTGGTTTCAAATTGGCTGCACCGATGCTTGGCTCTAAATGTGACCGATGGTGAGTGAGGGGCCCCTTTGCAGGGCCATGTCACCTGCAGGGTTAAACAGAAGGTCTCAGAAGAATGTGGGGAGCGTGGTCTTCCCTCTGAACACCTGTGAACTCCCTGTGACACTATGTAGTGTTTAGGCTACATAGGATAACCCTGAAGGGGAAAGTGCATATTAAAACTGTGTTCCTCAAATGTTATTGGGCTGAGGAATTTGGTAAAGAGAAGATTCTGATTCAGTAGGTCTGAGCTGGGCCCAACATCATGTATTTCAAACAGGCTCCCAGGTGATGGGGCCGCCGCTGGACCGGGATGAGCGTCTGGCTCACAGGAGGAGACCATCAGGACAGCCATGCGCTGCAGTTTCCCCAGGGGGGTCAAGTGTGTGCCCGGGACAGGCACTCAGGTGTTCACTAGCAGGCACCTGAGGCTGGTGATGAACACATGCCTTTGCATTCAAGGAGAAAAATACAAAATGGAGTGCAAGTAGTATTTAAACCAGGGGTCCTCAAACTTTTTAAACAGGGGTCCAGTTCACTGTCCCTCAGACATTCCACACATGTGCACTGCGGGCCGGGGACGAGTCGGCTGCTAAGCAGGACAGGCAGCGGCGGCAAAAACACCCGGCGGGCTAGATAAATGTTTTCGGTGGGCCGAATGTGGCCCGCGGGCCGTAGTTTGAGGACCTCTGGTTTAAACCATGACTTTGCTATGGGAGGAGGTTGTTATGCCCCAAATTAAAAAAGACAAAGGACTGACCATTCACACATAGCTCCAGGAAAAGGTACCTATGTTGGCTCAGAAGGGATGTCATACCAGATGTATCTTAGAAGTTTTGGCAAAGAAAAATTCTAATCGGACTTCTTTGAATTTACATTATTTCAGATTAATGGGCATGAATTTCCAAAATACATATCTGGATATTGTGCATGCCTGCTGTTGTTTGGTGGGAATAAGTATTTGAAAGCCCAAAATATCTTGATTTTTCAAACAGGGGACAAGTGTGCATTTGAAAAAATAACAACTAATACCTAAGTAAGGGCCAAATTTTTGGGTAATAGAGACAATACACAAAATACTTCTTTACCTGTGTAGAGTTACGTGGGCTTCACAGGAAAAGTACAAGTGAAATGCACGGATGACTGAACTTCTAATTGAAATGATTGAGGATCAACAGCAACACTGGGCAATATATCAAATTAAACCTTGGAGAGTTTTAGGTCAACACATTTGTAATTTTGACCTTTCCTTTCTGAACAAATCAGAGACTCCGTTTGTAACAAAGTCTTCAAGTTTAAGAATACATTTTAAACTGAACATACTTGTTATTTTAGCAAAATTTGCCTTTGATGGGTCAAACATCTCGGTGATACCAAGAACTTTCAGCGGCTCCTTCAGATCCATTTCTGCTGTAGCTGTGAACCTAGCATGAAAGCACAAAATAGGAGGAAAAATCACTAGGCTATGAATGATATAAAATGATATAATCAGTGCCAGTGAGAAAATGTTTACAAACAGCTTCTTTTTAAGCATGCCCTGAACACCAATCTAAATTGCATTGTAAATCTTAATCCCAAGGTAATTAGAGAACAACTCATCCCTGAGACCCTCAGCTGGCATCAGCAGCACAAATAGTAACAGCAAGTGGAGGCTCTCTCATCCTCACATGCAACAGGCTCCCTGGTCCAGTCTCAAGGAGATCCACAGGAGCACCTTCTCTTGTGTGGACGGGAGATGCCGGGTGTTGACAAGTGTCTACACTCTGCAATGTCTACAGTCCTTCCCCACATCCAACCAAAGAGCCATCACCTTGGCTGCCGTAAGAGCCACCATCCTCACTGGGACTGGGGATGGTCAAAAGAGAGGAGATGCATTCCTGCTGGTTCATGGAGAGATTCTGAAAGCATCTCAGAATGTTAAAATGAGAGCAAACGTTGGGAATAGGTGTCATGGTATTGTGTTTGGGTGTAGTACTGGTTTCTTGAATATGTGTAGGCTATCTGGCCTTAAAGCATCCACATGTCAGCTATTCAATGTGTCATCAGGGGATATTTTACCAGATTTGATCACATCCTGTGGGAGAGCAACAGGGTAGGTGAATGGATTCTCATCACAGATGGGTAGGAATGGCAATTAGCCATTAATTATAATTGTAATTTACCAACAATGTCACCATCTCATTCCTTTTTACCAAGCATTGCCTATGTAAAGGCTTATTTTACAACAAAAAATAATCTTGGGAAGATTACTAATACTTATTATCAACGTACTTCTCTGATTTCTTAACTCAGTGACTGGAAATTAAAAGCTATTAGAACGGGAAGTTACCACCACACTGAGGTCTGGGTGGTTAAAAGCCCCAGAAACGGGCCAAACACTTATGTTAAAAAGTTTGTAAAAGGAAGACATCATTGCCCCTTCACAATCTAGGCAAAACAAGGCATTCTCTGACCTGTTAGAAATTCAGGATTCAGACAGAATCTGGGATGACTTTTCCCTTGGATTCAAGTCTTAACAGCCCAAATTTTATCTGTCTTATACTTTCAGGTTATAAGAGAAAAACTTCCCTAGATACTAATGTATGGATTCTGCTTGGGGTTTCAAAATATTCCCTTACCACCTACCTTCTGGACCTTGGTCTTCAGCAACTTCCAGCTAAAACGTAAGTAACTAAAATGAAGCTCCTTATCAAAGAACAGAACGCTATTAAACTTTACTGTAATTTTATCATATTAATATGATGACATGCATGTGTTTTTCAGTTTTTTGAACAAATGAGACATGTTTGGAGCTTGGGGTTTTGTGGAGGCTCTGAGGCCATCTGCCTTCTCTCCTCCACTGTCATGAGCTGGCCACATCAGAAGCACGGGAATAACAATAAACTTTCCCACAAGCACAGCCTTGCATTCTGACCATGCGATTTCTGCACAATAAAGTGGGCTTCGTGATGGGCCAGATTTTAGCCTCGTGTTGTCTGGTATCTGGCACAATCACCATCAAGGATTGAGCACTTCCGTTGTTTTCTCCTTCAGGGAAAGGAGCCACTTACTTGGGCAAGACGACCTGCACCCTCTTGGGCACCATCATGCTGGTCCAGCTGTCTATGGTCTTGGTGCTGATGTGAGGGATGATGGCCGAGAGTGGGGTGGAGCTCTCGCTCGGCAGCGCAATCAGCATGCTGATGCTCTCCCCGTGGTAGGGCAGTTCAATGAAGTTGTACCATAAGCCATTGGGGGTGCTTGCTGACCCTAAAGAAATCAGAGGCAGGTTCAGTAGGCCCTTGATGACTTCCAAACGTGGTGGGAGTGACCACTGGTCACCAGGGTAGACTCAGAAGAAAGAGAGCCATGCAAAATAGCTTCCTTAGAAGGACAAAGGCACTTAGAATACAGTGCTTTGCAAAAAGTTGATCCTTATCATATGAATAAAGAAATGAATTTGAGCTGCCTGAGAAGGACTCTTTTGGCCAAGACTATGTGTGCCTGTTGAAGAGAAGGGAGGGAAGGAATAAACAGCTTCCATTGTTTAGGGCCCAATCTATGCCAGCCCATACCAAGCATTTCCACACAGTTACAATCACAGTGTCCCATAAGGTAGGTATAAGAGGTCTATGTTACCACCAGGGAAGCTACCATTAGAGGAATTCGGTAACTTGCCAAGGGACACATGGCTGAGAAGTGGAGCACCAGGACTTGGGGTCAGTATGTCTAATGCCAAAGACCATCTTCTTACTTCACTGCCCTGACTCCCTGCTCACTCTTCATTCATTCCAGTAACTTTCATTAGGGCTCTTAGATAATTTATGGTACTCGTGCTTACTAGTAACAAACCAAGAATGACTTAATCAGTATTTGTCAAAATGTCGTGTAGAGAACTCTTGCAACTTGCAAGATGCTCGGTGGACAAACTGGGTTCCGTACCCAGTGAGTTTAGGAAGCACTGGACCATTGCTTCTTGCAGAGAATATAATACCAACAATATAAAGGCTCTGAGATAGTCTGAAGAAAACTGTTTAACTCTAGTTATCCCCAGATCTCCCAAACTAAATAAACCCTTTTATCCCATGTAAAATATTCAAAACATTTAGCAACTGAGCAGCTTGCCTGAGCATCTTGGATTAGAGTGAATAAAAGTGTAGTCACGATGGACACTGGCGAGAAGCCCAGCTCATGGGGATGTGCCCAGAGAGGCTACCAGCTCCATGGGGAAAGTCTTCGACAGAGCACTTTAGGATCCCATGGAACCTCTACATTCGGCATGTACTGAGTTATAAAAATAATGTGGTGAATGGAAAACCAGCATTTCTAGACTCATAGTGCATTTCTGAAAAGTTTTATTAAACATATCTCAAACTTTTTAAGAAGAACTCGGCAACCTTGGTGAGCATGGAGGATGGAAACACCTAGAGTTGGAGGATGGAGACACCAGTGCAGGAGATCTGGAGTTACAGGACTTGGATTGAAATCCTGGTTCTGACGTACACTAGCTCTTGGACTTGGGCAAACTCCTTATCCAGGGGTTGTTGAGATGATTAAACGTGAAAAAAAAAATACATGTAAGGGACTTAGCAGGGCCAGACCCAGGGTGGGTGCCCACTGAGCAGGGCCCCCTCTTCCTCTTCCTCTAAATGACCTAGAAGGACACCATGTTTAAGGAAAAGAGAAAAGAGAAAGTGGTTTCTCTCATGATTGCCTTTTCTTTGAGGAGGACCTTTGCCAATCACTGCACTGGAGACAGATAACATCCACGTCAGGTCTCCACAGATGGGGGAAGGGTGGCAGAGAGACAGTGAACTTGTCTTTGTTACATAACAAACACTTTTAACTATAAAATGTGACGAAAATAGTGAAGCAATTAGAATGGCTGACACTACAGGGTGACATTGCAGGTTCCTCTTAAGAAAGAAATATGTGGCAATCTGTGCATGTGCAGGCTCACGCTGGCCCGGGTTTGTCTTGGGGCTACCTATAATTCAAACATGGGACCCTCGTCTCTGCTTTTACCCTGCATACCACAATGGTCTCAGAAGAAATGGAAAAAATCCATGGGAAAGTGAGAAAAAAATCACTTCCTAATAATCCCTTTAATCCTCAAAGAAAACATTAGGTCCCTCCTCTGGCAGAGCTAATTTTTAGAAACTGAAATGTGGGAAGCAGTTAATAAATGATTACCCCAGGGCGAGGAGTAAGCACCTGGAGGTATTCATTAACCACTTCTAGAAGTGTTTAATGTTCAGATAAGGATTGGGGTCATGAATAATAAAAACTTATGAGCTGAGTGTGCTTGAGGCGAGGAGACAGCGTCTATTTCCACCGGTTAATCCAGCCTCGACTGGAGACATCATTAACTAACCATTTATATCCAGTCACTCACGTCTGCCTCATGATTCCTTTCTCCCTGGCTCTGCTTCTGCTTCTGATCACAGGAGCTGATGACAAATGTCAGCTAGGATCCCTCGGAACAAACCCCTTCCATGCTTATCTTTACTTGGCAGCTTGAGGAGCCAGGAGACAAAAATAACATGTGTCCTCTCCTTCCACTCAGTCCCGAAAGCACTGCCTTCACAGTGTCGCCTTATGGAAGGCAAGCGCAGAGGTCAAAGACATGAGATCTGGAGTTATAGGACCTGGATTCAAATCCTGGCTCTGACACACACTAGCTCTTGGACTTGGGCAAATTCCTTATCCAGGTCTTAGTTTATTTATCTGTGCAATGGGATAACAGTGTCTACCTTATAGAGCTGTGAAAATGAAATGAGAATATATCTGCACACATCTACTGATGTCAGCAGTTTTGTAAAACACTTCACTTCTTAAGTGTTAGGTTACTGCTCAAACAGTTGAAACAGAATTGATCCACCAAGAAAAACCCCACGAGCTGCAGTAGAGCACAGCTCCTGGGCAGGATGAATCAGACAGAGAAAGGGTATTTGGGAAGCTGGTGTGGGGCAGGGTCCCAGACTGCTTCCCCGTAGGTAGTGTCCTGCCCGAGGCCCTGCATCCCGCAGCTCTGGGAAGCAGACTTAATGAGGATAATTTCTGGAGAACATAACAATGCGAAAGAAGCAGGCTCCATTCTGAAGAGAAGGGAAGATGTGAAAAGAGAAAAGCGGTCTTTTCTCTTGATGAATGGTGATCAACCAAACCTTTAATGAGAGATAAAAGGCAGGGAGCCAAATATTAAAAATATTAGAGATGATTTAGGACTTTCTGTCAGTGGTGCTTTGGGGATCAGCCAGTTTTTCTGGAATGTTCCCTAAATGCTCCAATTCCTATTTGAAGTCCTGTAAGGGAGGAAGTAGTAGGTAAGGCTCAATGAAAGGTTAAGAACTCTTAACAGTCTGTACTATCAGAGAGAACATTTTAAATATTTAACATCAGGAAAGCCTCATAGATGAACGTTCCCCAAATTACCTTCTACTACAATTAACTATAGATTTCCTGAGTTCTGAAGGAATGGTTCAGCTATACTTCGGTAGATGTTGAAAACCCACGGCCTGTCGTCTATACTCAGGATGGAGCAAAGGGAGTTTGGGGAGAGCTCATGGGGAGGGCTGATGGTTTAAGCAGCTGGGTGAGAACTGGTGCCATTTGCTGAGCTGAGGAACACGGGGCAGAGAGAACTCGATGGGTGAGGGCCACAATGCGTTTATCTATGGAACTAGAACTTAATAGACGACCAAAGAGAAGTAAAATGAATAGGTAGGTATGAGTAGGAAGCTCAGAGGAGAGTGGACTCTAGAAATATACTCTAGATACACACACAAATATGCATATGTATTTTTGGAATTCTTTGTGGCCTTTTAAAAAAATTTTTAAGTCTAAATTCATAACCATAAACACAAGAAATGTGTAACTTCTTTGACTCAGCAATTCCTATTCAAGGACATTACCTTTAGAAGTTCTGGCACAAGTATCTAGACATTTATGTACGAGAATGGTCCCTGCCGTGATGTGTGTTATGGGAAAAAAGTCAATGGCCGTTTATAGGATATGATGATACATTTATGCCATGGCATATAATGCAGCTGATAAAAGGATCTCATTGACATCCAAAAGTTTCCCAAGATATACTGTCTAATGAATAAAGCAGATTATAGAATAGAAATAACAGTGTAATCCTATGTATGTGGAAAAGTCTCATGGACGTATTTCAGATATCCATAGAAAAAGTCTCAAATGCTATTCCTGGCACTTAATAGGGGTTTTTATCCTGGGAAATGGAATTGTAGGGGAACATTTACTTTCTGCCTTATATCTGTCATATTTGAGGATTTTGCAATGAGCATGAGATATACTTCTACTACAAAAGGATTTTTCAGGCTTTTTTAATAGAAAAGTTTTTATCATCGAAGAGCTTATACTTAATGGGACAGAGTCAAGAGAATTTTCCCCTCCTCTCCTACTGTTCCCCCCGCCCACCCCCTTAATGTTACTAAGATATGACATCTCAGGGGGAAAAGACGGAAAGACTGATAAATGGGATGGCAATGCTTCGGAGAAGTGACCAGGAACAGTGAGGTTTGGGGAGGCCCAGGAACGTTGGGTGGGTGGCACCAGAGGCCGTGTGTGTGGGTTCAGGCCGGCAGCCTGGCCTGTCTCAGCGGGACTGCCCAGCCCTGAGCCCTGGCTGGTCATGGTGGCCAGCCTGCAAGGAGACACCAGAAAATGCGTGGCCAGCGAAGCGGCCTGTAGTCATGAAGACGAATGCCTGCTGGGGCCAGTACAGACAGCTCTGTGCTCCCTTCACAGCCGCAACAAAACAAACCTGCCCTGCCTTTCGGTGAAAAGCAGAGTTTAATGAAGGGACTGCTTGTAAAGCATGGGCAGAGTACAGAGAAACCACTGAGGACGGTACCCTGGGCTACAAATAGTTGGGCACCCTTACCAGCCTTAGGCTGGGAGCGGTGAAGGGAGGGAGGTGACCTGCAGCTTTTGGGCACGCCCTGATGGCAGGAGCTAAATAAGACCTTGGTGGAGGGAGACCGGGCCCTGGTGATGGCAGGGAGAGGGCTGGGAAGCCAGCAGCCTAACCCTCTCCCCTCCCTTGCCCCTACCACCTGCTAGTTCTCCCCACTAGCCAACCCAGCTGGAACCCAGAGGGCAATGGAGACCATAGAAACAGCCTCCTGGAGGCCCGAACAGGATGGAGAAGCAAGGACACAAATCAGGGAAGAGGCCCAGTACTGCAGTCCCACAGAGAACGAACCTTTGACAATGAGAATGTATTTGTGTACTGCTTTCTGTAAAACACACACGTATATTCTGAGACAAAGCAGTTCTTAATGGAAAAGCTTCCCGGGACACGTTGCTTCCTCTCTGGGAATCTCCTATCTACTCAAGAAAAGTGGGTTACATTCATTCCTGTAAACACAAATATTTGAATCTTTTGGGAATGTCTGTGGAATTCCTTGCATTTTCATCTTTGACTACTGAAGCATACAGTAAATGAGGTCCCCTCACTTTTTATTTTGTTAGAATGGGGAATGTGTCCTCACTTTTTATTTTGTTAGAATGGGGAATGTGTGCAAAGATTGGCCTTAAGATAACACAGCTGCACTTTGGCTCTGAGCTGGTGGCCATGCTAGCATTCTCTTAGAGTCTTTTTGATTCCAACTTTGGGGCAAAAGAGTCTTTTTTTAAAAAACAAACAAAACCTAAACAAATCTATTTTATTTATTTTTTTAAATTTTAAATCCTCACCTGAGGATAAAAGAGCCTTTTTTTTATCCTCAGTTCCTTTGCATGATATGTTTCTTTTTTAAAAATTATATGTTATCTTTTTAAAAAATTTATTGAGTGAATGACAACATTTTACCAAGAAGGATGATGAATAATAAAGGAGAGGAAAGTGACTTTGTTTATTGCATCCCTCATATAAAGCATTCCCTAATTTAAAGAATCGGGCAGCTAGCGAAATGTTGAACAGTGCTTGAAGCTAATTCGTACTGAATATACAAAGGAAATACTTGGAAAACACACGTCCAGGTATAGGTTGGAGATGTTAAGACTAACTTATACAGTGAAAAGAAGAGTAATGTCAATCGGACCACCAATGCTTTGATAAAACCAGGTTTAAAATGCAACCACCAGACTCAGTTAGCTATGCTGTGGTAATGGCAGCAGAGGTGGGCCATTTTTTTGTTTCCTGATTGCAAAATGGATACATATTTAAAATTGAAAATTGAAATAAAGAAAAAGAATAATTTGAAATACCACCTCTGCTAACATTTAATTGAACATCCTCCAACACAGGTCTCTAGAGACATATGAATATATAGCAAGTATTTTATACAAATGGGATGAATCAGCATCTGTTGCTCTATAGCTTATCTGAAACCAACCATATATTAGAAAGGAGCCTTGCACGTGTGAACTTACCGCTCCGGAACAGAGAGAGCTGGGCTAGCATGGGCACTTGGTAGGACTTCCCGTCAGCTGCCACAAACGGACGTTTCTTTGTGTTCTCGGGTCGAAACCGTGATTTCCACAAACCCTTAAAATACAGGGCGTTGACCAGGACCATTCTGGTGAGCGTGCCGTCGATCAGGTCAGGGGAGAGCAGATTGTCGATCTTACCTGTGAGGTCACAGAACACACAAGTAAGAAACTCAGGATTGGCAGAGGCAGCTGCTGGATCAGGAGAATGGGAAAATCCAAGGGATTCTTAAATGATTTAGAAAAGCAATTTTTTTACATCACCCTTGTGTACTTTCTGATTCTTTTTCTCACTAAAAAGTAAAGCTGAAAACAAGTTAAAAATCAGAGACCGGGAAAGACTTTAGAGATCCTCTATGTAGGGATTACTGAACTTTTCATCAAGAAATTCTTTTATACCTAGTTCCTATCAGCCCCATGCTTTAGAAAAATTTACTCACCCAAATAAGCTATACAGCAGTGATGGCGAACCTTTTGAGCTCGGCGTGTCAGCATTTTGAAAAACCCTAACTTAACTCTGGTGCCGTGTCACATATAGAAATTTTTTGATATTTGCAACCATAGTAAAACAAAGACTTACATTTTTGATATTTATTTTATATATTTAAATGCCATTTAACAAAGAAAAATCAACCAAAAAAATGAGTTTGCGTGTCACCTCTGACACACGTGTCATAGGTTCGCCATCACTGCTATACAGTATTTAATTATTAATTAAGTTCCCTATTTTGGCTAATAACAGACACGTGTGATGACCAGTGAGAGGTTTTGGTCAGCACAAGATAAGCAGTCGGGCTGTTTGAACCACTGAGTTGATTTAATCACAGTCAAAATAAAGGAACACTTTATCCTGCACAGTGTTAGCAAAGGTGAATGCCTAAGTTCTCGTAAGATTTTTAGAAATGTTGAGCATTGGTTTGTAGTCTGTGGTTAAAGAAGAGTGGAAGTTAAAATCGCTGTCTATATTTATGGGTCAGGGATCAAGCTAGGTGCTAATATTGCAGAGATGAAAAGAAGTGAGTTCTCTCCCAGAACTCCAATTTTGAAGGAAAACGCTCTTCACCAAACGTCAAGATGTGGGGAGGGTCCACCTCGCTTGTGTCAGGAGTGAAGGAGCAGCCACTGACGTTCTGGGAGGCTCCGTGAAGCCACAGGATTCTGCAAAGTGCTACCTGGGCTTCGCACTTTGGATTTTTTTCATTTAGGTTCTTTTGGCTTCATATTTGAAGATTCAGCTGAGTGTGTGGTGTGTGTGTGTGTGTGTGTGTGTGTACATGTGCAAGAGAGATCACTAATACCCAAAGCTATTAAAAATTAGTTCAATGCAGCCTTTTTTTTTTTAAAAAGTGCATAATGTAAGTGCAAGTTATAATGTATTAAATGGCGAGTTTATGAAGAAGCAACAATGTCTAATTCAGAAAAGAGATTTAAGTCCTTTTAAATGAAGCGCAAGAGGATTCTGATGTACAATAAACAAACAAAAAGAAATCACCAGAGAGAAGCAGACCCAGGTTTCCCGGAGAGTTTCACCATTACTCCCTATTTCCACAAGGGGGCACCAACGCCACCTTACCTTAGGATCTGAAGGAAAATACATGTTTTAAATAGCCATTATTCAATACAAGGCCGGCCTCTGCCAACAGACTGTGGGAAGTTAGAGCTTTGTGCTCCAGCGATAGCAAGCTCCTTAGAGCTGGTCCCCCCATAGTGAATGTTTCTTGCTTTGCTGGGAACATCACCCAGTGCAGCCCCTACCTGCCTTTAAAGACATAGCTCCATGGTCCCTCTTGTCCACCTTTCTGAGCCTTCCACTCATCTCCCAGGAGTTTCCATAAAGCCCGATGCTCAGCACCACCATGACATTGAGGTATTCTGTTCCAGACAAATGTAATGTGTCTGTCTCCCCCAACTGAACCACGAATTGTGCAAGAACAAGGACCCTGTCATTCATTTCCTAAAATCCTGCCTAGCTCTATGTTCAGTGTACAGTCAGTGCTAAGTGTCTGAAGAAATCTCTTCAGCCTTTTTTTTTTTTTGCTAAGATAAATAAAACCTCTGATTGCCACCTGTAGGACTAAGATATTGTAAGAAGACATAAAAAAAAATAAACAGGAAAGACAAAGAAAGGTAAGAAATGCATAGCTTAGAGGCAATGAGGCACACGGGACACCTGCCATCAGTAACTGCCATAAACATGCATCCATCGTCTATCCACGTGTCTTCCAATACACTCACCATCCACCTACCCATTCATCCTTTTTTAAAATATATATTTTTATTGATTTCAGAGAGGAAGGGAGAAGGATAGAGAGCTAGAAACATTGATGATGAGAGAGAATCATTTATCAGCTGCCTCCTGCATGCCCCACACTGGGGATCGAGCCCGCAACCTGGGCATATGCTCTGACTGGGAATTGAACTGTGACCTTCTGGTTCATAGGTCGATGCTCAACCACTGAGCTACACTGGCCTGGCCCCATCCATCCTTAGATGCCTACCTATCAGGTGCCACGTATTCTTTTAGATAAGAAAATGAAACAAACAAACCCTGCCCTCAAAGATCTGTGTGTCCTTGAGGTGGAGGCTGACATAAGTAAACCCAGAATAGTATAAAGCTGCAGTTGTACAAGCTACCTTGAGTGAAAGCACTCAAGGATGTGAGGGCAAATAAGAGGAATCTGACCTGGTTGGCGAGGTCAGGCACGGATGGGTTCCTTGAGGAAGTATGACTTAGTTGAGCCAATGGCTACCAAAATAGCTCACGCGTGAACATTTGCTAAGTGCCAGGCACTCTTCTAAATGCTTTACCTATATTATTTTTATCCTCATAACAACCTTAATGTTGATATAGCTATTCTAGTAGTATCACTATGATATCTCCATTTTATGGATGAGGGCATTGAGACACAGGGAGGTTAAATAACGAGCCCTAGGTGACACAGCCAATAAATGGCAGAACTGAGATTCAAACTCAGAACGTACTCTTTTAACTGTTATGCTCTTCATGTGACAGTGTGAAGATGAATAGGCATTAACAAGGGGAAGGGAAGTGTTCAGTAGGTTGGGGTCCAGTGATCCAAACATACACCCCGGGTAACTCTCATGCAGGTATGTCAGGAACCACACTGAGAAACATGCCTAAAGTTGCCAAAGATTTTTCTTTGAGCATCTTCTTTCTGTTGCATCTCTTTTGCTTCCACTCCTGTGCCCTTAACTCTCCCTTCTATGAAAAATGGTTCCCAAATCTACATTTCTAGACTTAACTTTTCTCTGTTGTCCTGGACCTACCTCTCTTCCTGCATGTTTTCACCTGGAACTCCAGTTTACAAATGAACAGGTTTAGAGCGCCAATGTCAGACTTGGCTCAGTCTCATGGGAGAAGAGACACAGGTAAACAAGTAATCATTATGCCGTGTGGCAAGTGCTATAATGAAGGACATAGAAGAGGCGCAATCATATGCCCATCAGAACTGGAGAGGAGGCACCTGCTTCCTGAAAAGGACATTCCAGGCAAAGGAGACAACAGATACAAAGGCAGGAAGGAATGAGCAGCAAAAATTTCAAAACAGACAAGGGCCAGTGCACGAGGTTTCTGGGGATGAGATGCAGTGAGGAAAGAAGAGGGTCTGCAGGGCTGTATTCTGCTCTGCTGCCCGTGCCACAGGGGAAAAAAATCCCCAAGGGACACGAGTGGGGGCACGAAAAGGGAAGGAAGGCAGCCCAAGTTGTGGGCCCTGCTCAGAAAGAAAAGACAGACCAGCCAGTGGGGTCTTGGCCTTTGCCAACAGAAGGGCCACTGGACTTGCAGACACGTGTTAGGATCTTAGAGTCTAACTCACGCTTTCATTCACAAAGTGTAAAATCATACAAAATGTTGCTCAGGGAGCCGTGACCACTCACCCCTGGTTTCATTTTTAACCCACGCATTGATGGAATCACAGGCGGAGGCTGGATCCTTAAAGTTCACATTCCGGACTTCGCACTGAAACACATCTTTGTTCCTGGTAATGAAAGGCACTTCGATTTTAGAGCCATTCTTCACAAACATTGCATTAGCCACCGTCACAATATCTTTATTCTTCTTGGAGACGATGGCCTTGTTGATCTTCTTTAACGTTTTACCAGCTCCTAGAGGGGAAAGGAGAAAACACGGCAGTATTTCCACAAGAATTCTGAGAAGTTAGTTTTCAAAGTATCTTCTATCTTATGGCAATAACAACGGTATAAGCAAGATAATACGAGTAGTGTTCTCAGTGTCCTCGTGTTAAGAAAAGGGGGGAGGGTGTAATTAAATAAAGTACAACTGTTAATAGGTCTTAAAAATCGGTCATGCTTCGAGCATCAAATCAGGCACATTGAAGGCATTTTCAACACCTTTCCCATGTGGATCTCATTCTCCTGGGGGACTTTCTTGGTACCAGGTCAACAGGAAGATTGGTAAGCGCCTCGATTATGTAGCCATGGAGGGATACATGAAAGGAATCTTCCCAACCCATTCTCTTTCTCACTTAACAATCGTGACTGCTATTTCCTTTCCTGCCAAAGATTTAACAACATGATTACCTTTTTCTATTTTGGGAAGAAAAAAAAAAGAATAAAATAAGCATTTGAAAGACTATAAAAAAATGGCCATGTGCCATCATCCACGAACAATGATTTTTACTTGTTATCGAGCTCAAAAAGTAGAGGAATTAATTTTATGGCAACATAAGCTTTATTTTACACAAGCCATCCATACATGCTCCACTCAGTTTTAGAGCATGGGAAGAAGGAGAGTAAGTTATAAGGATGCAATGTGTTTCTGTAGAGAGCTTGTATTACAGATCCTTCTCACTCACTTTGCAGAATGACACTGTCCTAAAACGCCCTGCAAGTCTTGTCACTCTGAGAGGTTTCTTCTTCTGACTCTTCAACAAAAATTATTTTATTGATTTTATTAGAGAGAAAGAAAGGGAGAGGGAGAGAGAGAAACATCGATGAGAGGAAAACATCAACGTCGACTGGCTGCCTCCTGCACGCCCCCTACTGGGGATCGAGCCTGCAACCTGGGCAGTGCCCTGACTGGGAATTGAACCTGCAAACTCTTGGTGCATGGGATGATGCCCAACCAACCGAGCCACACCGGCCAGGCTCTTCTTCTGACCCTTTAAACCAGGGCAGGGAAGAGGTGCCCAGGCTCCATGAAGAGGTGGTCCTATGGCCTTTGTCAGGTTTCTCAGGACTCTACCCCTCACACCTTCTGTGGGGCAGGACCGGATGGAGGGGGCTGGCCCATTTCATAAGTCAGGGAGCAGCAAACGTCAGAGGCCACATCCCAGCTCTGTCCCATTCAGCCATAAGGCCTCCTCCACATGCCCTGGTCTCCTGCTGGGAGATCAGAGCAGATCTCTCCTCTTTTGCCCCACAGAGTCCTGCCTTCGTCCTCAATGAGAGCATCACTATTGTGAGTTCTCAGAGGCAGAGCTGGAAGTAAGGCCTGAACAACCACTCGGGCTCCCTGGGATCAGTGTGTCATGTCAACAGACGTCACAGAGGTTTGGGAGGAAGAAAAAGTGGGATGGGGGGTGGGAGGTAGGGCGCTGCCCACAGGCCAATAGCCTCAAAACTTTAGAAGTACTGCTTAAAATGAGTGCGGCTCAACATTAAAACCAACAACCAAAGTCCAGTTGCTGTTTTGGAATTGGACTGGCACACAGACGGCCCTGGGAAAGGCCCTAAACTCTAGCCGTGATTCACTGTGAAGTTCTAAGCCACCAAGAGTTTCCGAACTCCCGAGCGAGGGGCTGAACAGTGTGTCCCAAGTATTATTCTTTCCCTGCTCCGACAGGTGAACACACTGCAAACTCGTGCAGAAGGTTAACGCTGTGTCATCCGGCAGGTGGTCAGGCATTCGGTGCCGGGAGCGCTGGAGGCCACACTGAGACCATCGCCAATGGGACCTGAAGTGCACAAACCCCACCTCACTCATCTTCCTCTCCAGCTGAAGGCGTCAACTCAGTCAAGGCTCCTAGAATGCCCCAGCCAGCAGAGGTGGAGGAGCAGGGGTAGGGAAAATGGTCATTTCCCAGTAAAGTCACTAAGCTGTGAGAAGTGACTGGCTCAGGTCACAATGCCTTGAAGGCTCTGAAGCTGGCCCTGCACCTGGCCCCCTGCAGCGTGGAGGAGGCAGGTAACCCTGGTGAGAAAACCCGCGCTAAAGCAAAATGACAGTGCTGGGACATGGGAGCTCTAGGTTAGGTTTAAGTCCGTCGTTAAAAACAGGTAAAGAAAACTATGCTTTTTCCAAGAACTGGGCCTCACTTAAAAAATTTTTTTTGGAGTCTTTTATTTTGAAATAATTATAACTTCACAGGAAGTTGCAAAACAGTGAATAGGGTGGTCTCACACACCTTTCACCCAGTTTCTCCATTTGTGACATTATGTATGGCAATGCCACCACCAGGAACTTGCCATTGGGACGGTCCACAGAGCTCATTCAGGTGGCAGTGTGTGTGTGTGTGTGTGTGTGTGTGTGTGTGTGTTTATGCAATTTTATCCCCCAGGTAGATTCACATGTCCATCACCTCAGTCAAGACACAGAAGGGTCCCATCACCATAAGGCTCCTCGTGCTGCCCTCCATGGCCACGCACAACCCACCTGCCCAGTTGACATTTTTAAAAGTACATTCACAGCCATAAGGCATTTTTAGCCCTGTACCCCGTGAAGGTGGGGGCAATGGGCAGTTTCTCTTCAGAGATGAGAAAACTGAGAGGTTGAGGGTTTGACCCAAAGCCCCACAGCTACAGGCTAGAATCCAGCTCTCCTAACTTCCAGCTCCGCAGCACCTGTGCTTTAGAGCAGAGGGCTTAAGCCCCGGAGGGCACCGGGGCTACTCTGCTGGCTTCTGGGGCTTTAAGAGAAGACCCAGCAAGGGATCCCCAGACTCCTGTCAGGCCCTGCGGCCAGAGCCCACAGCACTCACCTTTCACGCCGTATCGCATCACGGAGGTGAGCTGCGCCTTGGTTCGGCCATCGGCTCCCAGCTGCAGCATCCCCAGCACAGACGCGATCCCATGGGGGGAGACGACGATGTTGTCCTGAGGCCGGGACTTGACAATCTGGTGGAAAACTTGGATCCCTATGTCAGAGCCTAGTTCCTCCAGAGGCTGAGGATTAAACTGGAGGCACACGGAGGGCAAAGTCACTGTGACCACGAGGAAGAGGGGGAAATGCCAAGACATGGTTCCTGCTGGCAAGGCCAACCTGAAAATTAGATTAGAAAAAGATCATTGAAATGCTACTGAAATGGGCACTTTGGGGGACTACTTTGTACTCAACCTGATGTGATTGACCTTACCCAGCATAACTGAATTCCTTCTTAATGAAGTTAAGAAGAACAGCACAGATTACATTGGTTTTGACTGTATGTTGTTAGGGGGATGGGAAGGGACAAGAAAGGAACTTCTGCTTGGTGTGTCCCAACTAAGCGCCAGACACTATTCTAATAGTTATTTATTACTCATAGCCACTGTCCATCAAATTAAACCAACATTTACTGAGTGCTGACTGTGTGTCAGGCCCTCATCTAAGCGCTGGGCATTCAACTGTAAAAAAGGTTGGCAAGACCCCTGCTCTCATGGAGTTTCCATTCCAGAGGGAGACAGAAAATAAACCAGGAAGCAATAAAGGAGTCAGAGAGGGATCAGGGCAGGGACGAGAAAACAGTGATGCCAGCAAATGACAGGCTGGTGCGGGCCACATTAGACAGGGCCCTTATCCGAAGAGCCTCCTCTGCAGAGGGAACACAGGTGGCGAAGCCTGAACGATGAGAGACCCAGCAGGGCAATGAGCAGGGTGCGTAGGGCCTGTCAGGCAGGCGGATGGCAGGGCAGAGGCCCTGAGGTGGGAACACATCTGGTGGGGAGGTCGGGGTGACTGAGACATAAAGAACTTGGAGGTGAAAAGAAGGAGGGGCAGGTCCTGAGGGGCCTGCAGAGCCTGATCCGGCTCTTGGATTTCATTCTAAGGTAGAAACCACTCACATGGCTGTGATTATCATATAACTATACACCGTATACCTGATTTTCTCACATGAACATATTCTTTTCTTAATTAAAGAATTGCTGATTAAAATAAATTTAAGGGACATCCTTAAATCTACAATGGGGCAGGTCTTCTCGATACGGTGATTTTATTACATGAATATTCTCAATGATGGTGATTTTATTAAATGTGCTTTCTTCCTTGATTACCCTTTACTGAGCTCTCTTGCGCTGTGAAAAATGAGGAGTGGTACATATGTTTATGGAAAAGCAAATACTTTCATTCAATAAGAACCTCAAAGTAGCAGCCAGTAAAACAAAAGCAAAAATCGTGATATGGCTAATTTGGTTCCTCCCTCTGGACTAAAGCTCCTGCTAAGCACAAGCTTCCCACGAGGAGGTAGGGAGTGTCTGCAGAGAACAAGAGAGAGGGAGCCTCTTAGGAGATAGGTGCCAGGAGTGAAGGGGAAGTTAGGTCTCTGTGCTCCAGGGAAAAGAAGGGGCACTGGGCCCATCAATAGACGAGTGGATAAAAAAGCTTGGTACATGAAGACAATGGACTATTACTCGCCATAAAAAAGAATAAAATCCTACCTTTTGCAACAGAATGGATGAACCTAGAGGGTATTATACTAAGTGAAATAAGTCAGACAGAGAAAGACAAATGCCATACTATTTCACTTATATGTAGAAACTAAAGAACCAAATAAACAAAAAAACAAAACAGAAACAGACTCGCCCTAGCCGGTTTGGCTCAGTGGACAGAGTGTTGGCCCACGGGCTGAAGGGTCCCAGGTTCCATTCCCAGTCAAGGGCATGTACCTTGATTGCAGGCTCGAGCCCCGGCCCTGGTCGGGGTGCATGCAGGAGGCAAATAATCAATGTGTCTCTCTCACATGGATGTTTCTCTCTCTCTCTGTCTTTCCCCCTCCCTCCCAATCTCTCTAAAAATCAATGAAAAAATATCTTTGGGTGACGATGAAAAGAAACAAACAAATAAACAAACAAAAAAACTGAGACAGACTCACAGATACAGAAAACAGACTGATGTTTGCCAGAGGGAAGGGAGGTTGGGGGGCTGGATGAAAAAGATGAAGGAATTGAGTACCAATTGGTAGCTATAGAACAGTCACAGAGATGTAAATTACAGCATAGGGAATATACTGGTAGTCAATAACATTGTAATAACTATGTATTGGGCCAGGTGGGTACTTAAAATATTGGAGGGAAGGGACCACACTATAAAACACACGATTTTCTAACCACTATGCAGAATAATACTGAATGTAAACTGTAATTGAAAAATAAAAAATAAAGTCTTAGAGCTAAAAAGGGCGAAGGGGAGGGGAGGGGAGGGGAGGGGAGGGGAGGGGAGGGGAGGGGAGGGGAGGGGAGGGGAGGGAAGGGAAGGGGAGGGGAGGGAAGGGAAGGGAAGGGAAGGGAAGGGAAGGGAAGGGAAGGGAAGGGAAGGGAAGGGAAGGGATAAATTAGGGCAGCATTAGGCAAACCAGCATTTGGTGTTTCCTCACTTCCTTTCTATGCGTGTGTCTCCTTCACCTCTAGATCATAGTAGATGGTCAATAAATACATGTGGGATTAAACCTGCTGGCTTACATACTTCCTATTTTTCTAATTATTTTTCATGGCATCAAAATCATATTTATTGAGTGTGACTGGGAAAATGATTGTGTTGAGTAACTGTTAGCGCCCAAAACTTTCCAAGGAGGGTAAATTCTTTGGGGTGGAAGAGGGCTGGCAGCCAGAGATCCCGCCTACCACCCCCACACATAGGGCCACAAGGTGAACACCAAGGCCATCATTCAAGGTGATGTTGCAATTTTTTTTCACACATTTTAAAAAATTTAGAGCATTCAGAGTTTCTCCAGAGCTTCACAGTAAAATAATTGCATAAAGGCAAGCCTGTCTACATTCAAAACAGCGAATTGACCTACATACGCTCCTTCTGGGGGCTTTCCTATGGCCAGAGTGGCCTACTTTAACTTTGGCTCCTAGGACTGGCTCTAATACCACTACAATCCCGAGTTTCTCTCCGCCTGTTGGACATTGGGGAGCTTCCAAATCCTGATTATGGAAGCTTTGCTCATGTTATCTAAAAATTAGACACTTTGTCTTCCCTCCCTCCCTCCTTCCCTCCCTCCCTCTTTTCTTTCTTTTCTTTCTTCCTTTCCTTCCTTTCCTTCCTTCCTTCCTTCCTTCCTTCCTTCCTTCCTTCCTTCCTTCCTTCCTCCTTCCTTCTTTTCATTTCTTTTATCTCCTCCCTTCCTCACTTCATCCCTCCACCCTCTCTCACTTTTCTTTCTTTCTTTCTATCTTTCTTTCTTTCTTTCTATCTTTCTTTCTTTCTTTCTTTCTTTCTTTCTTTCTTTCTTCTTTCCTTCCTTCTTTCCTTCCTTCCTTCCTTCCCTTTCCTTCTTTCTCTCCCTTCCCTTCCCTCCCCTCCCCTTTCCTTTCCTGGTGATTAATTTCCCCTTTAAAATGAAGTAGACTACAACCCTGTGGGAAACTGATATAGGGTTAAGCCTCAGACTGACCTGTTGGCAAAGTCACAAACAAGTCCCAGCTTAGAGGGCACAGTCCTCTTAGCATAATTAGGCTTGACCTTATAACACTCCCTAGATCTTATCTGGGAAGCTAAGGGGCTGAGGGAAGTGCAGGAAGTGTAACTATGGTCAAAACAAGTGAAACTCACAAGAACTGTGTAACTATGGTAACCACTGCCCTGTTTACCTCTGACTATAGTTGGTGCGGCCTGAGCACCAGTGGAAGTCCTTCCTCCTGAGTTGGACTTACCTGCCTGGCCCCCAATATTCCCAAATTATCTCGTGTCTTTTCTTTTTCATTTGTGTGAGGCTCTTCTTCCAGATCCTGAACCCTGAACCACACGGGACATGGACGGAAACATTTACAACAAAACCCATGCTAAGTATAAAACAGTTTGTACAATCTTGGTTACAAATGGTCAAATTCGGTGACTGGCGCCAACTTCATCAATCTAAATTGTTGACCCTTGCATTGTAATCTATTCTGGCTTCCACCTTTAGCATGCCATTGAATTTATACACCCAAGCCTCCCAAAGAAATCCTCCTGGATTAGCAAAATTGGAATAAATGTTTGAATCTGCACACTCATAAAGGACATCAAATTGGGTTTGCCTCTGATTGCTTACAGTTGATTCACGTAAATGTTATGGATTTCTGTAGAAGATTGTAAAACGGGTATAAAGGATCAGTAACAGATGGAAATTTAACAGCTCCAACGTCTCAGAGTCGACAAAGACAATCTTCCGAATAAACTGCCATCTTATTTAGCATCATTTTGCTCGGTTATGAGTTTTTTTCTAAAAGAACAGTTCCATTATGAAGGGGGGGAAGGCTGCCATCGGTGCTTTGCTTGGTTTCTTGGATTTGGGACTTCTGGGAGATGACAGTGCAGCAGGACAGTGTCAGAGCTGTGCAGAACTTGGAATCAGAGCTATTTTTGATTGATATTCTGGGCATCACTTCTTGGCCTCCGTTTCCTAGGCTAAATGCTCACTCGTCTGAACTCCCCTGGCATATGTACATGTCTGAGACCAAGCTTTTACTTCTCTCCAAAGTTCTGTAGCCAGGAGAGTGGATACTGATGCACGAATACTTTAGGCTTATAAAATTCCTACTACAGATACCTATTCATGTCCAAATAGACAATCTTTTACATGGAATAACTGGTTGAAGTTCAGGCTTTGAAATTCTTAGCCTCTAGAGGACAAGGAGATTCTCATTATGGGAAGAACATAGTAACCTCCTGTTTATTTTTAAAAGAAATTACACTTTAAACTTTCAAGTAAGAGAGAAAGAATAAAGATGTTGCTCAACTGTATTACATAGCATCCATGTTTCCATTTCTTGAGTATTCTTTTCATAACAGTAAAGAAAAAGATTAAGTTTAAGTCATCAATGGAGGAAGATCATAAACCTGTAAATGAAGCCATGGTTATAGGCATGTCCTTCCAAATGTGGGTTTCTCCTTCCCCACAAACTTTTAGTTTCTCTTCCTCCAAATCTTTCCTTCTCTGTGTGGGGAATGTTTTTGATATAACTGGGTACTGCTTTGAGTTTTAAATAAGATTTAGTGTAGTGAATAACCATTGGTAGTTTTGCAGATGCCAGACGCCCGGCGCAACCCTATGTCTATAAATGCACCACCTGTCAATGGTAGGC